GGGCGCTGCAGCCTGGCGGTGCTGGGCACCGAGCCGGGCGCCAGCCCCCGCAAGGGCACTGGGGAGAAAGGCTTTGCCTGCAGTCTCTGCCCTTTCGTCACCCACTACCCCAACCACTTGGCACGGCACATGAAGACGCACAGTGGGGAGAAGCCATTCGCCTGCCCGCTCTGCCCCTATGCCTCCGCCCACCTTGACAACCTGAAGCGGCACCAGCGAGTACACACAGGCGAGAAGCCCTACAAGTGCCAGCTCTGTGACTACGCCTGCGGCAACTTGGCCAACCTCAAGCGTCATGGGCGCATCCACTCAGGCGACAAGCCCTTCCAGTGCAGCCTCTGCAGCTACAGCTGCAACCAGAGCATGAACCTGAAGCGGCACATGCTGCGGCACACAGGCGAGAAGCCCTTCCAGTGCCGGGACTGCCCCTACACCACTGGCCACTGGGACAACTACAAGCGCCACCAGAAGATCCACGGCCACACAGCTGAGAGCTGGGTAAATCCACGCAATGCCAAAGCCCTTCTGGCCCCTCCAGCCGTGGGCACAGCCGTGCCCTGAGACAGCACTTAGCCTGGCTGCAGGGGTGCCCAGCCCTGCGTCGGGCCTGGGGTGCCTCAGCCCTGGGGCATGCCAGCTGCAGCTCCTGCCCTCCCTGGGGGAGGGATGGGCAGCAGGCTCCACAGGGGCTCAGGGCTGCCTTACGCAGGGCCTGTGCATGGACCGGGGTCTCCAGCAGCCCTATTCTGCCCAGGCAGGGCGAAGCCACAACTGGCGGCTTGGGTGCCTGTCCCAGCAGCGGCGGTGCCGTGCCCCGAGGGACCCCCGGGGGTGGTACCTGCCTGTTCCTGCCTGTGGGAGCCTTCCTCTGCCGGAGTTTGGGAAAAAGGGGGGAGGGGGGAACAGGACTGGTTCCATGGCTGTGGCCATGCCGGTCAGTGTAATTTATATTGTGTATAAAAGCATTAAACAGTCAGTTTTGTTATCTGCTATTCTCCCTGGGGACCTTGTTCTGCTTCAGGAGAGGACAGCGCAGGGCTGGCAAGGTGTGCAGGGAGGGGAGGGTCAGTGCCCACCCCCCAACAGACAGGCCAGTACCAATCAAGATCCATTTTAATCATCATTGCAGTGTGTAAACATCGGTTACTGTCCATTAATGCTCTGGTCGCTCTGAGCAGCAGGAGATACGTGGTTACAAGCCTAGATTACGCTGGAGTCTATGAGCAGGTTAGAGAGGGGGCTCTGCACAGAGCCCCCTGGAGACAGTTTACTGCAGTCTGTCTCTGAGCAGAAACCTAAATGCTAATTTGGCATTATGGAGTCTCACGAGGGCTACTCGGTGCCGCCAAGCTGCTACCCCAGCCACCCGGGGCAGCTGCCCTTCTGCACAGCTGGCGCTCAGGCCAGGCCCTCCCAGCTGGGGAAGGGGCAGCCCCGCCCCCCGTGCTGGGCCAGGCTCCGTGACACTGCTCCAGGGCTCGGCCTGGGCACGCTGCTCGGGTTGGGCTGCTGCCGCCCTGGGAACAAGCCTTCTCCCAGCTGGAGCCAGCAGCAGGAGGAGTTCAGCTGCCCCCACCCCGAAGGCAACGGTGGGCTGGGGGTGAGCTCCCCAGCCCAGGGGAGCAGGGGAAGGTGGACATAGCAGGTGAGAGGCACGTTGATTGCAACCTGTCTGCAGGTCGTACATTCCTCAGCGAAGGCCCTTGGGCCGTGCTGGCCTAGGAAGGTGGGGCACTACAGATCTTCATCACCAATGCCCTCAAAGGCATAATTGCCATGGAATTCATTAGCGCCCACATCGTTAGCAGAGCTGGAGTGGCTGATCCCTCGCAGGCTGACAGAGGTGAGCTTGCTCTGTAGAGAGGGGAGATGTGAGGGGAGATGTTAGGGAAGACCCCCACTCCCTGCCCCCCCCCGCCGGCTCAGTCGGAGGATGACAGCGCCAGCGTGCCTGCACACAACTCACCGAGAGTTTGGCCACTGGCTCCCGGGAGGCATCAGGCGAGTCCTGTGGGGACAGCACAGTCAGGCAGTGCTGACGTGGTGGGACACGCCACCCACCCTTCCCACGACCCACTGCTTCCCTGCCCTCGGCCACCACTTGCCTTCCTGGGACAAGGCCAGGCCACCCTCCCTTCTCTCCGCCAGGGCGTCTGGCTCCTGGAGATGGGTCCAGGACCTCTTTCTCTTTCCAGGGCTACAGGAGTGTGGGGCAGTGCAGCCCTGCTGTCCTCTGGGCTTGCCCCAGCTCTGCCAAGGGGACAGTGGCACCTCTCGGGGCGGTGGGCTCTGGCACCTGACACACAGTGAAGCCCATGGTTGTGCTTGTCTCCCCTACCAGGGCTGCAGGGTCCCACTCACCAGCAGTGGGGGCGATTTCAGAGCTTGCGGGCTGGCTGAGCGCCGCAGGGCCCCGTTCACCCGCCGGCGAAACATCTGCAGGGGAGGAACTCAGCTCAGCCGCAGGGTCCCCACAGGCAGCTCCAGAGGTTAAGCTGGCCCCTGGGGATCCTTCAGCTGGCCCCATCCTGAGGAGAGCAAGCAGGGCCCAGCCTAGACCCCAGGGAGTCACAGGAGCAGGATGGGATCCCACCCCAGAGACATCATCCAGCCCCAACCCTCACCTTGCGGATGCTGCCTCCAGACTTTTTCACCATCAGCTCATCCACCATAGATTGCAGGCAGATGCTCAGCATGATGGCCTGCAAGGGAGAGGTGTCACAAGGCTCCATGCACCCCACGGCCTTGCCAACCCACCACACCGAGCCCAGACCAGCCCTCTCCCTCAGCCACCCCCTCGCTCCCGTCCTTGCCCACCGCCGGCCTGGCACGCAGGCAGCCCTACCTGTGGACTGGTGATGGTACCCCACTGCAGCCGGTCCTTGCTCATTAGGTACTCAAAAGCCAACTCCAGCTTCACCTCAGACTTCCCTGGGCTGCTCCCAGAAGGACCATTGCTCATCGGCACCTGCAAGGGCACATGCTGAGGCTGGGAGCCTCCAGAGGGACAGCAGCCAGCTTTCCAGGCTGATGTGCTGACAGAGGGCAGCCCCCAGCTGGGTGCTGGACACCCTGTCCAGCTCTCACTGGCCTTCCACCACCATCAGGTCTCCTCACAGCAGCAGGCCCCTCAAATATCCTCACACCGATGACCCCCTCGGCCCCAACGCACGACTCAGACCCTCCCCAGGCCTGCTGGGCTGGAAGCAGGGCAACACAGCCAGCACCTTTCCTGGGGAGAGAGCTGCCAGACCATCCCACCAGACCCCACGGAGCCCTTCCTGCTCCCCCAGATGCCACAGGGAAGTGGCACTCACCGAGGATGTGACCCGCCAGCACCGCATGCGTGTGACCTTGAAGCTGCCTTCCTTGATCTGCTCACTCGGCAGCCGCACCTGGAAGTTGAGCTCGTTGTTGCCAGCACTGACGACGACGTGGCATCCCTTCTCAGGGAAGTCAGTGACGCAGGGGTCGAACTTGAGATAGCCATAGTACTTCAGGGTCTGTGCCAGGCGGATGAACTGCGGGCAGACCCAGAGAAGCTCAGCACAGCCAGCCACTCTCCCGCCGCACCTCCCAGGCCAGGAACAGGCAACAAACTCAGCACCACGCGTTCACAGGGGAGTGGTGCAAGCCCGGTGCTGGGACTGCTCCAGTCACAGCATCCTGCCCTCCCCTACCTCCTTCTTGGAGACTTTTTCCTGCAGGGACTTCAGCTGCCGGTGCTGTTCCTTGTTGACAAGGATCCATCCATGCTCAATGTCCGACACCGTCTACCAAGAGGCAGAAGCTGTTGAGCAGCTGGGCCAAGAGCCACCTGAGACCCCGCACAGCTGTAGCTGAGGGGTGCGGTGCCCCTCCTCACCTGGCTGGGCCGCACCAACCCTCACCTGCGCATACAGCAAGTTCAATCCCACACGATGCTCCATTACGTCGTCATCATAGGAGGAGTCCCAGTAGCTAGGAGGGAACCACATGGGTCAACCTATTCCCCAGCTCCTAACAGCAATGGGGAGAAAAACACCCCCCACTCTGGGACAAGGCACCAGGCTGGTTCTCTGGCCAGCTCCTCTGGTAGCCATCAGTTGCCATGGCCCACTCCCCCTCTCAAGCAACTGCCAGAGGCAGGAAGAGCCATGTCTGGGAAAGCAGAAACAGGGGCCAAGCCCAGCAGGGCAGCCTGGGCCCTTGTGTCATGGCTGGGGACACCCAGGTGTGTTCCTGGGGGCAAAGCACCCCGTGCACAGCGATAGCTGGAGGGCAGCGGTCCCTCTGCAGAGCAGGGAGCCCCGGACACCACCCCACTGCCCCTCCAGCCCCGCTGCTCACCTCTTGCGCAAGATGATCCTGAACTCGGGGTTGTGCAGGCTGGTGACGGACACGTACGGCAGCTCAAATTCCTGCAGCTTCCGCACAACTACGGGGAAACAGCAGCTCAGCAGTGGCTCAGGGCAGCAGGAGCCCATCGGACCCCTGCCACCCTGGGGGAGCCCACTGGATCCCACCCACCCAGGGCAGGGCCATCTGGTTCGAGGACACAGCTCTCGCCCGGGGCAGGGCACAGGGCAGATGTCCCACCACAGCCCTCGTGGGGCTCCAGTGTGCTCTACTCACAGGAGAAAGCTCCGTCCTTGGTCTCTCTCACTAGGAAGAGGCTGAAGTAGCCAACCAAGTCATCTGGCAGATCCAGCTTGGAGGCCACAGCCTGGGAGCAAGAGCAGGAGGTCACCACTTCCCGCAGAGAGGCAGCACTTCTACATCCTTACCCCGCAGCAGGATCCAGCCTGTGCGCGTTCTGGAGCCTCCCAACAGCAGGAAGGCAGCATCTCTGCTGCGCTGGGGGCCAGGGCACGGGGGGAAGTGGACAAGTGGGGCCCAGGGGATCACTGACACCATGAAGCACCTGGGGCCTCCTGACATCAGTCTGGGCCGAGAGAGGGGCACGAGCATATCGGCACACCCTTTCCAGCTCCACTGCTTTTCAGCCCCCCGGGACAACCCTGCTCTGGGGCAGGGACATGGCAGGGAGGGCCAGGGGGCTGCCAGGCTGAGGGAACTCCTGCACGTGCACATGTGGGAAACCACAGAACTCAGCAGAAGGAGCTGGTCCTGCCGAGCACAAGAGCTTTGGCACCTCAAGGACATCCTCCGTCTGGTCCGAGGTAAGGATGGTGACCTTGACCTTCTGGCCGTTGGAGAGCAGCACTTCCAGCACCACCTCCTCTGTGGGTATCTGCTGTGTCTCCTGGACAGAGAAACAGGATTGGCACCCTGGCCCGTCCACCGCCGACCACCCTCACGTCGCTCAGACTGCCCTGCGGTCTGAGGGCCCTGGCACGCACTGTCCAGCCCCGGCGGCCGGCACTCACCCCCACAGAGGCTGCCCCAGCAGCCCACCACATCCAGCAGCTCCTGCCCCCTCACCTGCTGGGCCTTGCGCAGGAAGCTGTTGAAGGTCTCACTGCCTCCCAGCGTCGGGTCCTGCCGCACTGGGGGTGGAAGACGAGCAAGGAGTCAGGCATTGTGTGGGGTCCCATGCCAACGCCCATCCACTCTGCGGCCCCTCAGAGTTTGCACCCAGACTAAGCATGCACTGTGTGCAGGGCACGCACACGGGCAGCCATGGATTCCCCACAGGTGGAGGCACCAGCAGGTCTCCGCCTCTGCCAGCACAGGGAAGGGGAAGGGGCTGGGATGGAGGAGCTGGCGTCCAGTAGGCAAGGGCAGCTAATGCCTGAGCAAGACTGGAAGTATCAAGATGGGCCACAGCAAACGGAGCAGTGTGGGGAGGAAGATGCGGGCAGTGCCCCAGTGCCCTGAGCAACAGAGTAGAGGGCAGCCAGCCCTGAGCAGCAGCACAGGACAGACCCAGCTTACCAGCCTGCATGTATTTCTCCAGCTGTTCCCGTCGCTGCTCTACCTCTGCTGGGGTGAGTGTGAAGATCTTCTTTGGGGGAAAGGCTGGGACCACATTAGCGCCATACTCTTTCCTTAACTGGGAAGAGAGCAGAGTGCTGCAAGAGCCCCCAGAGAGATGGTGGCTGCTCTGACCCCCCACGCCAGCTGATTTCCAGGGCCCTGGCAAGGGGAGCGGAGAGCTTGCCAGTGCTCCTCATCCAAATGGACAGCCAGCACTTTGCAAGAACCCAGCCGGGATGTCACACAGCAGGACAGAGGCCTGCACCCGATGCCAAGGAAGAGATGCCAGTGGGCAGCACATGCCTGCCCGCAGCCAGCACAGCGCCCGATGCTGCGGCTCTCCAGCAGCACGCAGTGCCTTCCTGCAGCACCTGACAGCAGCCCGCAGGGCCCAGCACCCTACCCGCCAGGAGCTCAGCACGCAACACCGCACTGCCCCGTGGGAGGGGGGCCGTCAGCAGCAGCTCCCACCACCACTGGGGACAGCGCCCTACCTGCTCGTGCAGCCCCAGGAGCTGGCTGTAACGCACTCGGCAGTGCAACACCCCATTCACGTGGATGTTGTAGGCCTGCAGGGAGAGATGCCAGTCAGACCCCAGCACCCACTGGATGGAAGGGCCTCGTGGCCTGCCCATCTCAGGGCACACAGGCCACCGCAGGGAGAAGCCCCTACAGGACCCAGCCCTGCCACAGCCCTAGGAAGAGGCGATGCTCCTGACGACCCCACCAAGGGGCAGATAGGGCACCCCAGCCCTCCCCTCCTGTCGGCAGAGCTCAGGCCCTGCCCCAGGAAGTGCCAGGACCCACATGGCACCCTCATGTGCCCCGGGCCCAGCTGGGCAACGCTGCGGGACCTGAGTTTGCCTTGCAGGCACCAGCCCCAGCCCTGAGACACCCATCCTGGCAGATGCTGCCTGAACTCCCTCCAGGTGCTGCCCCAGAGCACACACCTCTGCTGCACCTCCCTTGCAGTCCGAGGCCCTCTCGAGCTCTTGGGGGCAGCACCCCCAGCAGCCTGGAGAGGGGCAGGGCCCATGCACCCCGAGGCTGCCCATGGTAGCCAACACCTTCAACAAACCAGCCCAGGCAGGCACAGACAGCCATGGCCCCCAGCACAGCCAGGAGCAGGAGGGGCTGCTGTCAGCAGTCAAGGGCTACGCATTAGCAAGTGAGGACAGATCAAACACCCCGGACTTCCATAGATATGTACAATAACAGCACTGAAAGGTTTCTGTGTGCTGCCTCTCTGAAGATGCGTCAGCGTCAGTGCAGACCTGCAGCCCAGTGGATACGGTCAAAACCGCTCAGGAAGTACAAGCGCATCCAAGAGTGGTGTCCGATGGACACCACGAAGGCATAACCCTGCAGCTGCCCAGCCACAGGGAGAGTACGGAACGCCACTGC